TGGGTTCAAAAAAATTGGAACACAGGCAGAAGTTTGTGTAGAGAAACCACTGGGTTCTTTTCAGAAGATCCTTCCTGTGGGTGTTTTGAACCTAGAATTGGCATCTGTAATGAAATGGAAACATCAAATAAAATGTAAACACATAGTAAATTCAATTTTTTTTCTATAATAGGGCAACAAGTCTGAATTTGCAAACTGTGCAGTTTCTGCGCTTTTGTTGTTTTAACTGTCCATACTGTCTGTGAAATAAAGAAAGCTTGATAAAACTCCTAAAGAAGGTGGTGTGGTTTTCATCCTTTGTCCAATGTGCCAGTAGATATTTGTAGCGTATGCCTAGATGTTTAGTAGAATGTTAAGCTAATGACAATGTACATGCCTTCACGGGTCAGAGGCTCATTACAAATATGAACGTCATTAATTTAGGGCTCAATCTAGCTTAAGCTATGTGTTGTGTTGGTTTTTGCCGCTATTGTATGCCTATACTCTACTACTCGCTTTTCTTTGTTGTTGGGAAAATGTAAGAATGATAGTTCCGAGCTTTTCTTGAACCTGCTTTTGCTGTTGATGCATAGACCTGGAGGAGAAAAAAAAATGGTTGATGGCTGCACACGTCGACGACATTGTGCTTCGCGATCCATGCACGGAGCGCCACCTAGAAACGTACAGTGTGCATGTACATTTTTTTGTACTTGACGCGCATTATACTGTGGCGCAATATCACACCAAAATGGCACCCGTGGCGATAACGCGATTCAGTGGAGAGTTGCCCATTTTGCGCGGCCCGCGGCCCTATACAATCTTTGATTGTGACAGTGTACTCCTAGGATAGGAGTACGCAGCAACTTGACGAGAGCGCCCTCTTGAGACGGTGAGTTTCCTGCACGAGCAATGAACTATAGTACTAGTACGGTGCGTCCAGTGCATGCAATGAGCGCAGGCGTTAAGAGCAGCGCTTCGGTCCTGTGTGGCTTCTAATTCTAACGAGATAGTAATCGAAGAGAAATTTGTGGGTTTTTTTCGGTATTCGCACGTTATGATGGTAAGTTTGAAATATAAATGAAAAAGTTGAGAAAAAAATGTTGTATCCTGACTCCACTTCAGCAGTTGTGTACGGGGAGTGAAGAGAATTATCTAAGTACATGTACGTTGTATTTCCCAACAACAACATCGGTAAATGTTTCTCAGTCCAGAATTCGTGTCTTTCCAGCATTTCTGTAATGACTGACTTTAAAGTTTTATTGAGATTATATATGACGATAAAAGTGGAGTCAGGATGCAACATTTTTCCGAAGTTTATGTGTGAGCTAAATATTGACAAGAATTGAGGTAACACTCACTGACAGTAGCAGAAAGGAGAAAATCGGCTCAGCCTTGACCATCACCTGATCACCATGATCACCCTGTTCATGTGGTATGAACAA